CTAAGATGAGTACAATATAAAGAATATATTCTTTTTGCCTATTTGGGACATTCCACTAAGCTGTTTAGTGATTACAGAAGTCACTTTAGGCAAATATTTAAATCCTTCATAAAATTTGATCTTTTTGATAAACAGCAAACAGCATTGTAAAGTACCTTTAAAGACAATAAGTAAAGTTCTAATTGTTACAGGGTCTCCGTCAAAGGACAGATACAACCTTAGCATTTCATCACCTAGAAGAAAGAAGGCATCGCATGAAAGATCCCTTTCTGATTAAATGTCAGGACTGTATCCAGGTAATTCTTGCTCACTCTGGACTATTAGATTTGAGGAGATGAACTTTCTCACATAGTCTGAGAACACATTCATATTGGCTTGGGGAATGCTGACTAATCACTACTCATCTTCAGTGACACTGACAGATGATTACCCCACCTAACTAAAATTTTTCTCCCTTTTTATGTTTGTTAAACACTTTATAACTACAATTTAAAATATGGTTTATAGTTAATATAAACATATTAGTATATTATCTAAATAGATAAGGAACATAAATACTAACATTCATAATAAATGTATAATTATAATAATACCAATCTTAGTTTTAATGAAGTTACAAATGAAGACATTTGTTTTCATTATTCAGGTTTTTGTTTTGTTTTGTTTTGTTTGTTTTTAGAGACAGGGTTTCTCTGTGTACATAGCCTTGGCTGTCCTGGACTTTCTTTGTAGACCATGTGGCATTGAACTCACAGAGAATGGCCGGCCTCTGCCAGCCCTCCCCAAGTACAGGGATTAAAGATCCATGCCCCTGTCCAATCAGTGTTTCTAAGGTAGTCATAAGAGAAAGGATAGTGGTGGGTGTGGTAAGGGTTAAACCTTGACAAGCCCAATAAGGATTAGCATCATAGGGTACCTACTAAAGACATCCATCACCTATATTTACACTTGGAATCTATTATTAATAAATAAATCCTGTTTTTAAAAGAAAGAACAAGCAGGACTAGAATGTCATTCAGGGAAATTAGAATATGGCCTGATGACTTCAAAAGAAGCTTCTTGCTCTGGTCCAAAGCAGTGACAAAAAGACAGAAGAGACTCTTTTCCTACTACAAATGTACCCTTTATTAGTTCCAGTATGAGTGGAGACTATTCAGTTAACTTCCTAATACTCTTTCATACACATGCATTGTATTTAAAAGAAATAAATATAAAGACAAACAACTATAATTTAGGTTCATCAGATTATAAACCTCTAAGGCATAACCAGGCATAACTATTTCATACATATACACGTATTTATAACTTTAAACAACAGTATTTTAAATGGATGCAATGAAAAAAAAATCACAAAAAATGAGTGGCAATGGCAGGGAACAAGGAGAAAAGATATTACACTTCACAGATTATTTGAAAATGAAAAGGGACAGAGCAACTGTAATACTGTATTAAAGTTTGCCTTTTTTTGCTTCATTTTTGTTCTGGAAATGTTAAAAACTCAAAAATGACTCTATCTTAGTCTTAGAACTTAGTAAAATCCTAGGATGAATGTTTGTCTCTGGTGCTCAAGTACCTTCCCCAACTAGGAAGTCAGGAGGTATTGTTAAAGAGTTTGTGCACCCTGGGAAAAGACCACAGATTCAATCCAAATAAAATGAAAAGATGTATTGATTAGCTGCTAGCAGGACAGTCTTTGAGCCAAGTTTGAGGTTGCCGTAGAGGAGAGGTATGGAGAAAGAAGTACTTTTAAAGGGGGGAAAAACACACCAAGGCCTTCAATACCTCTGCAATCTTTGTGTAACGTGTAAGCAAGTTACATTAGGAAAACATGCAGTTAGTCATTTTATAACAAATAACTGGTCACCGCTGTACATTTTTGAGTATGGTCACTGGGAACTTACTTTCAGGGGCTAGAGTCGGAGACAAATGGTTGGCGGGTACCAAGATGGATGCCTAGCATAAAATGAAGTTTCTTTAGCCATAACAGGGATAATTTTTATTAATGTTCCCCATTATAAAGACTTCCCCACGACCCTTGAGACAAAATTGGTTAGGATCTGCTCAAGGCCTCAAAGCCAGTCGAGGCTGCTAGGTATCTAGAGGATTCTCTCCATCAGCAAGCAGGACTCTGAGATATGAATAGTGACAACGCAAAACAGAAGTCAAAGAACCATGCCAGAGATGAGCAGGGACAGAGCTGTGTGGGATGCTCTATGATTTTCTGTGTGGGATGCTCTGTGTGGGTCGTCTGTTCTTAGCTGCCCCTCCACGGTCAGAGCTGTACACCTGTCTCTCTTGTATTTCTCTGAAGCACCCTACACAAACTCCCAACACAGTCAGATCACGAGAAAGCAGACTCTACTGGAGAAGATGGTGCTAATGGCAGCTTTCGTTTGGTGTGCTGTGCTCTTAATGTCTTTGCTGGTAGCGAACTGACTCTCTAGAACAAAATGCTCCCTGGTTTGCCCAGACTTCGCTGCATTCAACAGTCACTCAGGACCTTTCTGTCAAGTGTCTATTTGTATTCCCATGCTAGGTGTTTACAATTTAACAACTTGAGGCCTTGACCTCATGGTCTTCCTGAAGATGAAAACCAAAAGGTTAACAATGTTCATGATGTATCCATTCACTAGCAAATGTTCAAATTTACAGTTTTGTTTTTGGACACTGGAACAAAGAAATCCATCTCAAGTCACCTCTATTTTATCTCCTAATTCCTCACATGGAACAGTTCCTATAGGTCCCGGAAACCATCCTCCCATACCGAGGGGTCTCTTTGTTTCACCTTTTCTACCTTGAGTAAAAGCTGTGCCAGCCTCTGCTGGGGGTTTAGCATGTTCACACACTGTCAAGTTTTAACCCTTGCCCCATATATACAGATTCTGGGAAACTTCTTTTTTCCTTTAAGTTCTTCACAGAGTTCATGGTGTAATTAAGGTTTTTGTTTGTTTGTTATATAGTTATCTATATAATAAAATCCATTCATTATATAATAATTGTGTACTATTTCAATTTTTCTCACAATAATCTCTTAGGCAAAGGTGTCTATAGAGTAAGTAAGCATTTGAAATGCTGGTTTCTAAACCGGTGGACTTAGTTAACATCTTTCGATTCTACTCCTCTGTTCTTCATCAAAACATCTGTAATAGCGATAGAGCTTGTCTTTGAGTCTTGGCTTACAAGGATTAGTGTACAAGTAGCAGACATGTAACTGGCATACAGTGGTGCTTAACCAGCCACCTGATTTGACGAGCCCGTGCTGTTGCA